TTTTCATTTTATTGGAATTACTGTGACACTTTTAGATTCATAGGTCACGCTGTTCTTATGTGCCTTTGACATTGTGTTGTATTAGCATTAGTGTGAGGTGTCAGAAAATGGCCCTATATTTATCATTAATCGTACAGATGTCTAGAAGTCCACGTCCTAGCAGATGCCTTGCCTATAGTGCAGCCTTGTGCTGTCTCAGGATTCTTGTGTATCAGAAGGAAGAGTAGAAAAGATATCTTTAGTTTTAGTGGAAACCAAAAATAACAACAAAGGTGGGATTTGTTAAACTTTAAGCGGGGTTGTGTAATTTAGGGCATATAGGTCAATGAGTTTATAAGTTCACTGCTGCTGAGCTGAAATTCTGAATGAAGCATAGAACTGAATTTAGCCCCATATGAAGAACTGTGTGGGCTTTTAGCAATGCTGGTTGACTGAAAATGGCAGGTATTCTTCCTATTGCCCTAAACTTAATAAACTGTGAAACTTTTTGTTGTTTTCTAGATGCCTAAAGCCTAGTGATATGGAGACACATTCTAATTCCATACTTGATCAGAGAAGGGTAGAAGCTTTAGAGAGATCCAAGCTCACAATAAGGAAGAATTTCCTGCCCATGAAAACTATTAAGGAGTTGGAACAGCCTGACTCTTAGATTATCTCTGGAGGTTCCCAAACAAAATTTGGACAGCCATTTGTCTGGGATGATTTGGGGACCCCTGCTTTGGGCAGGGGATTATACTAGAACAGGGGTCCCCAACCCCCAATCCATGGACCAGTACTGGGCAGTGACATGCCAGCAACCGGTCCGCATAAACAAGCAAAGCCCCATCCACGGGATGCAGGAAACACACAAAACCACCACTCCCCAATCCACGGAAAAACCTCTCTCCACGGAACCAGTCCCTGGTGCCCAAAAGTTGGAAACCTCTGGGCTAAAAGATCTTCAAGATCCTTCCCAATTTATGACTCTGTGTGCATGGAAACTCCCTTCCCACAGCTAACAAATTGTGGTTAACTATCATTAACAGAGGGATAGAATCAAGATCACGTGACTTATTAATACCACTTTACAATGCCTTGGTAAGGCCACACTTGGAATACTGCATCCAGTTTTGGTACCAGGATGTAAAAAAGATGTTGAGACTCTAGAAAGAGTACAGAGAAGAGCAACAAAGATCATTAGGGGACTGGAGGCTAAAGCATATAAGGAAAGGCTGTTGGAATTGGATATGTCTAGTTTAATGAAGAGAAGGACGAGGGGGGGACATGATAGCAGTATTCCAATATCTCAGGGGCTGCCACAAAGAAGAGGGAGTCAAGTTATTCTCCAAAGCACCTGAAGGCAAGACAAGAAGCAACGGATGGAAACTAATCAAGGAGAGAAGCAACCTAGAACTAAGGAGAAACTTCCTGACAGTTAGAACAATTAACCAGTGGAACAACCTGCCTCCAGAAGCTGTGAATGCTCCAATACTGGAAGTTTTTAAGAAGAGACTGGACAGCCATTTGTCTGAAATGGTATAGGGTTTCCTACCTGAGCAGGGGGTTGGACTAAATGACCTCCAAGGTCCCTTCCAACTTTATTATTATTATTATTAAGGCAAGCCAACATTTATTAAGTCAGTTATGGAGGGGAATTCATTCTGAAATGTGCTACTCTACCTGAAACCTATTCCAAATATTTTTCCTGATTTCTATCTAACCTCTCAGTACAACACCATCTATTGGCAGTACACGGCCAATCTTGTCTGGTCTGAAAAGCTAAGTATAATTAGGTAAAGTTAGGACTTGTTTGGAAGATCATTATGGCCTCTCAGGGTGTAGATTGGACCTGATAGTCAGGAAGCCCTGGCAAAAAGAGGCAATTGTTACCAGTTTTGTATGGTTGCCAAGACTAGATGAAGATATCCATGAAGCTACTAGAAGTTAAGCTTGACTTGAGAGACTTCATTTACTTTACATTGACCTCTATGACTTGGTCCTGTGAACTATTGGTATTCTTTTAGAATAGTACGTCAGTGTCCATATGTGGATTTATGGGGAAATCCTAACATTAAAGAAGTTAATGGAGTGCTGAATTATAACTCCAAACTCCAGAATATGAATATGTTTGAGGAATTGTAGTTGTACTGGGCATGAGAAATGGCAAAAAGAATTAGATTGAGGAATGGGGGAAATGGTATTTTTCTAGGCATTAAGGATTGGCTCTTGGTGTAATTTATCTGTTCTGAAAAAGGCAATATTTTCAACTAATCAAAAAATGAAGCAATATGTTCTGCTCTGGAATAGATTTCATGAAATTTTACAATAATACAGTGGTATTTCTAGGTAGTAGTTTTTTTATATTCCTGTAGTTGCTAATGCTATATTATCACAAGTTATCCTTTGTAAACCCGTGATATTTACACATTTAACCTATATTTTAGATGTTTAATATTGTGATTTGTTAAGTTTTGTTACAATCTTAACAAAGTTTGGGGAAGGGCCCTTTTTTTCCTTTTATTTATTGACTTGGTTTTGGGTTTTATTTTCATGTGGTTTATTAATTCTTTTTAATATTGCATGGCCCTTTTCTGTAGGCTATCTTTTCTATTCTGATGCTGTGTGGGTGTTTTTGTGGTTTTTGTTTTTTGTAATCTTCTTATAATAAAAAAATAAAGATTAAAAAAAATACTACACATAGCAGTATCTTTCCATAACTTCTGCCTTCTATTCATCAGCAATGTCCGTGTGTGTGTGTGTGTGTGTGTGTGTGTGTGTGTGTGTGTGTGTGTATACAAAGCTGTTTCTGATCCATTAATAAACATGTTCCCTCTTCCTGGGAAATCCGTTAGATTTCTTTCTAATATATTACTGCATCCTTTGAGGCATCTCCTTCAGAATTTGTTTCTAGTTGATTAGTCTGTATGGGATGTTGATTAAAAATAAGATCAGTTCCCCCTGAAGAATAGGACAGAGAAGAGTCCCTGTTTTGCTGTCAGGGTTAATTGTACGGGGGGGGGGCAACAGGAGACATGTGACCTAACCAGCCAACCCCGTTAAAGCAGCATTTATCTGGTCCCCATTTGTTCTCAAAATGGACAACCCTTGACACTCCTTCTTGCTATGGCTCTTGCCATAGATCCTTTTCACCAAGAGACCCCAGTTGACATCCATAAATCTCTGGTTGGTTTCCATTCCCTGACCGTGGATGCTGCTCAGGAGCCTTGGGCCTCTCTCCTGAATAGCTGCTATTTTGCACCATTTCCTGGAAAGATGTAATAAAATGCCAAAGCTCACGGCAGCTTCTATTGCTACGGTAAATCTGTAAGTCCCTACACCCAGTTTGTTCAAAAGCCACCCAATGTGTTTTTTTGCCAGTATCTGTATGGCTTAGAATGAGCCCTCTAAGGAAAGGATCGTGTTTTCTCAGGACTCCAGGTTTCAGCAAAAAGAAGAAACAAAACCATCCTTCCTCGGTCAGAATATGGATTGTGCATCTGTATGTGAATCAGATCTGAAAATAATTTAAGTCCCCAATTTTATACTCTGCATTTTTCAGATGACTGCTGCAGCAGGAAGAATCACCTAATAAAACTCACTTAGAAGCATCTCTGCCTGGCAGGGAGGATTCTGCCTGGAGCCTTGGAAGGCAGCCCAATTGCCGCGTACCCCACGTTCTGGCTGAACTGAATACTGGATTCACGTTTATGCTGCACAAGGAAGCTGGATACAGGTGGCTTTGCAGCTGGCCGGAAGATTTAAACTGGGCCCTGCAGAGAATCAGCCTTAAGCTGAAGCCCCAAGTGGGCTTTACAGGCGGGTCTCAAAAATGGATCATTTTTCAGACTCCCTTAAGTTGAGTTTAACTCCTGGTGACTGCATCCATGCAGAGGTTTCTGGCAGTGTTACAGCAGTAATTTGCTATTGCCTTTTTCTGGGATTAGTATTTTTTTTTTTTTATTCTCAGACTAACCTATTGCTCTGGGATTCCCAAGCAATCTCCCATCCAAGTCCAAACTAGTCCTGCTTAGTTTCTGAGATCATCAAAGGGCAGTTATATGCTGAGGCATCCCCAATTGTCCTAAAGTCTTCAGGAATTCCATGGAGCAAAGCTTCAACGTGCCTGTGAGAAACAAGCTATTAGCTATATAACCAAGCCTTACAACTGATTTTTCTAGTTGTTGCGGAGTTTTTTTTTTTCCTGGAGTCTCCGCAGAATGTGAACCTGGGTACTTGTAAAAGAATGTGATACATCCTTCTTTGGTTGAGCTGTGTTTTTTTTTTTTCATAACTCAACCTATATTATTTAGACTTGGTGGGTTTTTGTGTCAATATTACCAAGCTGTGGGTTATGTTCCATTTGCCAATATACTGATATACAGTAACAGGGCTAGGATAGTGACTATGGATCCATTATCCTGGACAGAACCTTTTTATTACATAATTGAAAATAACTGCAGCTCTAAAGCAAATGGGTTTTCAAAAAACTGGTTCTGTTTATCAGCTTTTGAAAGGGCAAGATACCTCAGTGTCTGGTCTAAGGACACCCAGGCCCTCGCTTATAATTTTCACGTGATTTATTTTTCTATCCTTTCCTATTGAAACGACGCTTCTGAAATTTACTGTGAAGGCGCTGATCAATACCAAAGATTTCACAGCAGGAATTTCTCAGAATTGAATTCTCTAGTAATAGGTGTGCAACTATAAAGGCATGATAAAAAATGATCCAAGAAAATAGATAATATTTATTTGCAACTTTGGGGTGGTGGGTTGGTAGGGTAGTCTGTAAAACCCTGTCAAATGGCAAAGAGGTGTTGCTGAATTTCTTTATGCATATGTATTTAAATTCCTATTTAAAGGTGGGGTTTATGAGAAGGGGTCTGAACGAGAGCACAAAATTTGTTTGTATGATGGAACTCTCACTACATAGGATTTAATTATCTGGCTAAGTGTTAACTGTTGGGGGAAGAAGGATATAAAGTTGGGAGTAAAAGGAAACTTCACCAAAAGGAGGACTGCTACTAGGGGTAGATTCTTCCATTACTGTACAGTGTGTATGCTGAAGCTTTGCATTTTGCTGCAGATCCAAAATGCAAGATCGCCATCCAACAGAACTTGCATCAAAAAAGATGGTTCTGGCAGGTTCTATTATACATTGCATTACAGCATCAGGATCCTTGTGAGATGGAAGATTCTCAGACAAGAATTCTGGATTCAATTTGTGTCTGGTGGAGAGCCCGTATGTTTGAGTTTATATGTTTGAGTTTAATACGGCAGAGCCCCGAACTATATTGCAGAAATATCTCTGCCTTTTCTATTTCCCTTTGATAAGACCCCCTTCTTAAATAGATACTCGTTCTCTTCTCAAGGAAAAGGGAATATGAAGTCTTCCTGAATTTTCTATTTTATCTAGACTCACAAGCCAAAGAGCTTGGTTTTTTTTTTTTTTTTGTTTTAGATCTCATTCGGCCACACTATACTTGCCTTTCTTTCTCATGTCTCTTGACCCGTACAAGTCTAACTTTCTTCAACTGTCTACCTCGGCCTTGCTGGGTTCTGTCCCCAGGGATTGGGAGAGAGGTTGAAAGGAAGAAACAGCTTTTGGAAGTCGGTATGCCGCCCCTGTCATTATATCTCTGGAAGTGCCCAGAAGATCTCAGCCACTTTCTCTGGGGTGATGCCTGAGTAAGCAGCAAAATCGAGCTACGTACCCCACCCTTACTGTATTGTCAAAGCAACGCTTGCTTGGTGGCCTATTTATCGCAGGGCAAGAAGCTGAGCTGCAGCAGGTGAGGGGTTAAGTGCAGGCTCAGCTGTTCCGGATTTTCTTGGTTTCCTAGCGAGCTGTTTGATATCTGAATGCACAGGGGACTCCCCCGCCTCTCAACCCTCTCCTTCCCCCTACCCCCACGCGCACACGCACACACACTCCCTTTGCAGACCATGCGCTCGTTCAGCCGCTTCGTCTAATGGCACCGACTCTCAGCCGGCACGCTGCTCCTTCGCTGCTTGAGCCGAGGACACAGAAGGCAGCTCCTCTCATGGAGCCCTCTTAAATAGCTCCACACGAGGGAGCTGCCAAAGGGGGGCGAAAACGGAGAAAAAAGCAAGTACTGTGAAGAGAGGAAGCAGAAGGAGCCTGCCAACATCGCCGCTTCTGGGTTTGCTGGCGACCCATGCTCTGCTCCATGGCTAACTCAGGCTGCCTCCTGGTCTCCAACTCAGCCTTGCTCCCCCACTCTCTCCCTTGCCCCCCAGCCTTCCTCTACCTCCAGCAGGTAAGTCGTCTCTTTGTGCCTCCTATTCACACGTGGTTGGCCTCCCCAGGGCTAAAGATCAGGGCTTCCGTCCCCCCTACCCCAGGCTCCCTAAAGGCAGGTCTACCTTGCTCACAGGTTGGAGATGGGCTCCAGGGTAACACCTGTGCGCTGTCTGGCTGCGGTAGGGCTGACTTGGCAGTGAGCTCAAGATCAAGGAGATGACACTTCTCTGAGCTTGTTAGTGGGGGTGCAGCACTGTTCAACTTTACCTCCCCCCCCCATTAAGGCAGATAGGTGGCTGCGTTGTATTTCTGGAGTGTACCTGTTTGTCTTACCAGTGAAACCCCATGTAGAATGTATTTAAAGCCGGATTTCTGCCAGCAGATGTGATGCATGTGGGCTTCCGATGGGCTATCTTGCTCTTGCTCTCTTCCAATTGTCTTTTTGTTGCAGTCAAATTTTATGCTTCCAGGGTGGTCTGCATGTGGCTGTTTTGTATGTATACGTGTGAAGTAATTTAAAAGATAGATCTGTCTGTCTCAACTTGGCCCTCCAAAGTGCTGCAACCCAATTTCCAGCCAGCTTTGGTTTTGCCAGGCGTGTCTCCCTTAGCTGAAGCAGCTCGCTGCAATGTAAGTCTAGTTCCTTAACTTCTCTCAAGGGGAGGGGGCCTTGTGATGCCCACAGCACCCTCACCAGCAGGGCAACGGCACTTTCTTTCACTTTGGCACTGTGATCAAGGAGCCGCACATGTTTCTCGCCTGGGATCTCCAGAGAAATGGAAGCCTTTGCTTCAAAAGTCTCTTTGCAGCATCGGAAATCCCTGTCTCCCAGCTGTGCTAACCCTTCCATTTGAGCTCAAAGGAGTTTTTTAAAAATTCATAGCTTCCTAACCATTGGCACTAAGTAGTTGACGTGGCCAGACACCTTTGGGGTAGAAGGGCAGTCCCGGCTCCTTCTAAAATCTTAAATAAAAGAAGGGAGGTTATTATCATTTGCTTTAATGCTTCAAACCTTTGAACGGAAGGAGAAGATAATTCACACCTAGGACTTCCTTAAGTTTGCAGAGTAACGTGGCTGCTTTTTTTTTCTTCTCTCAGCAATCTGGAGAAGGGGAATTCTCTGAATCATGGCTTTCTCTGCTCTTAGTCGTGTTAGTCAGAGAATCAGAATGGAATGGCTCCTATTCCAGAGAAAGCATGGGAGTTTGGACGAGAGGCTTTTTGTAATTTCAGTGTCTTCTTGCTAAGGCATGGAATTCCCTGGGAAAATGAAGACTCATTCAGAAAAATATCACAGTCAAGCTGCATGAGGGATTTATGAACACTTGAAGGGAATAGTAGGGAAGCCTCTCTTGCTTTGAACTAGAAGGCAGTCTGGGCTAATATGATTAAAACACAGAGGGTATTCTGTTAGGGGAATCCTTTGGGGGTTTTGCTTTTGGTCGCACTGCGTAGCCCTTCAGCCAACTAAGACTTCAGGAAAGCTGCATGGACGTTTTGCCTGGTGCATATTGCATTTCCTCTAGACCAGGCAAGGGAATATTGCAAGCAAGTTCATTAAATGAGTGGCTACAGCCCAAAACCTCGGCACGGGGGAATTTAGGGGAAGGAGAAGCTTCCCTGAATAGCTTGATTTTCTTACCTTTTCTCAAGCCTCCTTATTTTCATCTGGCTTCCCGCACCCTCTCTGTTTTCTATGCCTCTTCCACTTTGTTCGTAGGTGTTAAGTGTATTTGAGGGGGGCAGGGTATATAATTTTAGGCAGATTATTTGTTTGTGACTTGTTTGTTTTGTTTAGAGAATAGGCTGAAATTTCTTTTCTCTTACACTGGGCAGGAAACAATCCGCATCTGAAGTTTTCATTCATTATCATTAAATTAATTTAATTAAAATGTAATTAAAACATCATTAAATAATATTTAAAAACAAGAAAAAATTAACTGGCAAAGACTACGTACTGTATGCAAAGAACTTAAGGAAAGGCCTAGAAGCTGCAGCTTGTGACATAATTATTCCTGTCCTGTCCCCCCCCCACCACCATTTTGATTTAGGTTTATTCAGGTATATTCCTTTGAGGCCTTGCTGCATGTGGCATGGAGGCTGTAGCCTCACTGCCACGGTTCATTTTGGGGCATTCAAGAGTAACTTTAAGGTTGAACATTAATCTTAATTGTGGCTTGGTTCCTATGGTGTAACTATAGGATTAAAAAAAAACCACCCATCTGATAGTAAGCAAAATATCTGTGATTTCTGCTGCCCAAGGAATTTTCACCCAAGTTAAAAATGTGAAACCTATGAAGGATTGATTATGAAAATTAGATTATTTAGACCCATCAACACATGTTTGTCAAATGCCAACAATGTCCAGTTTCAATTTATCTTCAGCTCTTAATTAATAGAAGTTTGGTGACATTCAAACAACAATCCAGAACCAGTTCAAGTTTTTTTTTTTTTTTACTTTGGCAAGAAAATGTCCAGATGCTATGCATGTGCACACAAGCACACTTACTCTTATATTCCTATAATAATTAGATAATTGACAGTTTTGCAAAATTTTAATGGATCCTTCAAATATGCAAATTGAAGCTGCCAGTTCACTGTCTCCCCAATGGGAAGTGTTTGTTTCTTCCCATTACTTTTATTTAATATTTGTGCCTATAAACACCTTATAGAAAAAGAATATTTTTAATAGCTGGGAATATATATTAGCTAAATGGATAATTGGCATAACACAGTGCCTTTATCATATTAATTTATCTTGTTTGCAAAATAAAGATTCGTCATTCAAAAGTTTAAAAACTGAATATTAAGGCCCAATTTTAATAGTGATGCTAATATGTTAAGTCATAATGGGATTATTTTTGTACATATTTAACATTTGATTACATGTTCACAGATGTTAAATGTAAAAGATCACTAGTGCAATCTCTAGTGACCCTTTATCTCTTATAGACGCATTAATTGTTCAGAGCTTCTCCTCTAAACTTCAAGATTAAAAACCATAAAAATAAGTGTCTCCTTCATTAGTCCTTGCTAATTGCTTGACACTTGGTGTGCATATAAATGGATGTGTGTAATATTGTATATTATATTAGTTTAACTGATCAGTTTGGGAGTGTATAGCCAAAATATTGCATTGATTTTGGTTAGCAAAAGTATAATCTTACATAGCATTACAGGCAAATTCAGAATGGATTCCAGAAACTAAAGCTTTAGGAAACAGGCTTAGGAAATAGCAATTTGTGTGGAGTTAAATAAATTAGTATGCTTTTATAATGGATACCTGTGCATAGGTGTTAGGTGTTTGTTATTATACATATGAGATGGGCATATATTTTAGATGTTTAGAAGTAGATTGAAAATGTGGGGCTTTATACCTGGAGCAAGCTGAAAATTGTGTGGGTCCAATGGCAAGCCGAATGTTGATGTGAATTTCCACACTATTGGCAGGGAACGTTACTAGTAAATGGTAGGGCTGAAATTGGATGTTACCACAGTCCAAATACAATTTGAACATTTGTTTCAGTAAGTTTGATTTGCTCCATCCCTAGTGAATGTCAAAGTTTTAGTTGAATTATTTTAATATTAATTTACCACTTATATAGTGAGATATTAAGATGTGCCTGTCCTATAATATACTGTGATCCACTGTCACCTGAATCCCTTTGCAGATACATTGTTATTTTTTTAATTTGGAGATGGGGAAATTAACATGCTACCGCATGCTAGCTGAAGTTGGAAGGCTGCTTCAGATTCTGTCAAGATGCTGAGTTACTCTAAGCTGTGTGTGCGTCCAAAATAGAAGTGCTTTCCTGTGACAAAATGCACAGATTTAACTCTTTGCAAAACCCTATTTTAAATTTTGAATTGATGTTCCAAAGTGTCTATGTAAAATTCAGCTGCTATTCTAGTCACAAAACTCTCACACACATTCTGTCTTAACAAAAGAGATGAAAGAGTACGGTAGAGTTTAGTCCATGAAGAGGTCTCACAATTCCTTACACACATAATGTACACATAGATTTGGAAACCGATTATCTGTTGGCTGAAGTCAAACTTTGCCTTTGCTGGAGTTTTATTAAAATGAAATGCATGGGCTGCATGCCCACACATAAACTATCCCATGTTCAGTGGGACATATATTTCATTATGATCTCCAATATTTGGAAAACAATGATTTGCAAAGATTGGTGGCAAAATACAACCAAAAGCTGCCTCAAAGAGCCTAGGCTGTGCTGTCACTTTCCCAGCCGCTCCAGGCTATGCTGCCCCATTTATATCTGGATCTCATAGATATGGTATCCAACTGTCCATTTAGCTGGCAAGTAAAAGATTCTCTTGGTTGCAGATGGGAAGAAGTTGGGTAGAAGAAAGAGGCAAACACAAGGTGTGTGCAGGTTGCATTGGGAGTTGAGCCACAGCATTGTGGCTGGCTTAAATCAAAGATAAAGAGAAGCTACAAAGCCACCAAAGGCTTTTCCTGGTGCAGCAGAATTGACAGAGATCACCATCTTCCTGTCCAGTAGCTTGGTCCTTAAAAATTGTTCTCATCCTCATTAGGTTTCTGCTGCAAGCAGCTTTCTTTGGTTCAAGTTCCACTCCGCTGTGAATCGTCTTGCCGAACCGGTAATATGTTCAGTGGATCCAACAATCAGCACCGGACAGACTGTATTAATGTGGGCTGGTTTGTAGAGGAAGGATCAAAGCTTCTCTTAAATTTACTCACTCTGATACCTGTTGTTTGTAGTTGGAAGGCAGCCAGAATCCTATGAAGTTTGGGGCAAATCCAAGCACAGTTTGTTTCCAAAAGGATAGGGCCTTCTTAAACTCAAAATGGCCATCGCTTGAAAGGTACTTGGAGGCAGGAGAATGATTGTCAGCAAATTAAAAACATCCTTGGAGAATAGGTATTTTTTCATCATGAGACATTGTTGCAAATGTAATCCTTTCTTTGTTATTTACTCTTGTTAACTGCTTCTTCAACCCTTTCAATATTTTTTCCTCATTTTTAACAGT